TTTGTTGTCTTTTTTTGTTAAATGCACAGCAGTTGGAGTTCTTCCTAAAAGCGAAGCTCGTTCCTCCTTAAAAAGGCACGTTTATTCCTCACAGTCGCCACTTGAGAACCAGGCAAAACATTTCCGTCTCTGTAATTATTTCTCACGGCCCACCGAGATGCACATGGGACACTCCTGAAGGACACAATGACAACGAGAGCTGGCTTCGCCTTGGTGCTCAATCCAGCGCATGGCTGCTCATATCTTCACGGGACAGCGTTTCTGCTCCCATGAGAGCGTTCTGAGGCGGGTCAGTAGTATGAAACCCCCCCACCCCCCTCCCACTAGAAGAGATCACGTTCAGCCGGATGCTCGTTTCATATCAGCTCGCCAGTGAGGAAGACAGCTGATACCGTCATGTATTTATTTACTGTATCATCATAGTCCGTGCGAGGTGTCAAGAGAAAAGACAAGAATAACGTCTTCTCTACACTGATATTAGTTTTTCAACTGAATTAAAAGTGAAATAGCGCGGGCGTGAATCCTGTGCATGGCAATTTTTGCTGCATCAATAACATTTTGCGAACAAACTTAGACTTCAATTAACGTTGTTGCCTTCCGATCTTTGTGGACGCAAGAGTTCTAAAACAGAAAAGGGTTCGTATCGGCTCTTTTTTAACAAGCACGCAGGGGTCAAAGGTTAAATCAATAGGGTCCTCTGACACTAATCAAAAATGAGATAAACTTCTGCTAGTTGTTTGGGAAGTCCTTTAAATGTCCTCTAGGCCGGAGCAGGGAGAGGTGGAACTTTAGTGTCTCGTGAACTTGTTACATACACAGATGGAGTCACACCGTCCAGTTGCAGCTCAGCATCCCCCCCTCCCACTCCCCCACTAGCGTTCTCTATCCGACCTCATCCATCCTTTCTCCGTTGAGAACCCCCCCCGAGGCCTGTGCAAAGGATCAATCATTCACACAGAGGTGCCCGAGTCGAGCCGCTCCTCGAATGAATAAATAAATCCCCTCCTCACAGCTGCCTCGGTCCAGCCCGTCTGCAGCGACCACAGAGGGACACAGGAACCGCCGGTTTCCCTGAGCCGCGGCACGTTTCTGCATGGCCCCCCCGGGCCCATCCAGCAGCCTGGGAGGAGGGCGTGGTGATTGGCTGTCAGCCTCACTGGGTCGCAGCTCCTCCCCGGCTGCACATGCTGCTTTTGGGAGAACCTGCGGCCTGACGTGAGTCACGTCATTGTCCCTCCCCCCCCCCGCTTGTCGCCCCCCCGGTGGCACCGAGGCAGCGAGCAACACCGCGTGACGTCAGAGCTCTGCATCCATTTTGGCTCCGCTCGCTGCAAAATGGACTAAAAGGGGGCGTCGGGCGGAGGGCAGCGGAGAGATGCACTTACAAAACTCTCAGGCAGGCAGATGACAAATGTGGTGCAAAATGCCGCGGCGAGGAGGTCATTAGCGTTCGCCACGAGAGTCTGTGAGTTAATGATGTGGTGACCTGAAGTCATCTTAACATGTTTGGAGCTGAAGGCGTGTTTGTTGGGAAATGACCTGCTGAGAAAACGTATTCGGGACCTTTAATTAAATCAAAGCATCGTGCTGAAAATACTCCACTACACGTAGAAGTCCTGCTTTCAAGAAGTATTTTAAGCTAAATCAACTCGCATAAGCTTTTATGAGCTCAGATTCCGCTGCTTTAGCTGATCTGAGATGCTTTTTAAAGAGTTTATTCAACTCTAGAAAAACCATCATCCTGATTCCGCTCTGGACAGGAAGTGGTTGACTGTCAAACAAGTGTAGTAGAATAAAAGTATAAGATTGGAGATGGAGTGAAGGAGATATTATGTATATGTTTTACATGAAGTCAAAAAAGGAAGCACTTGTACCTCAAATATGGACGTGTAAATCAGATTAACATCATGTGTGGAATAGTGAATAATTGGAAGGCAGCAACACTGCACCTTCTTAGACACGTAGGACAAACTCTCTCTGCGGACAGAGACGCTCTCTGTGAACGAAGTTTGCTTCGTGGTTGTTTCCATCAGACTGCTGCTGCTTCCCTGTGCATCGAATCTATTTGTGTCTCGTCTCATTATCGCACCGAACATTTGTCTTTAAAGTAGTGGACTAGAAAAGAGCAGCTGCTCTATTTTCTCTGCTTTCTTGATGATCTCCTTCTAGGTTTCTTGAAAAGATTCTGTGATTAGGTGCAAATAACCAATAGCTAAATAGAAACCCTTCACATATTATATTAGAAAGGTCAACATTATGCAAGATATACCTGTGCCTTCTGTGCGAGCTTGTTTACACTCAACAAGGAAACATGTTTAGAACCCTCATTTAAAAAGAGACAACTAACAATTGGAACATCTTCATTGAGAAGACTTCCGTAATCCGAATTGAAGATCCATTTGAACTCGTTTGTTTGGAACCCTTATTCTCCAGCTTTGTCCCATCGTATACTTTAATATGCAAATCGATTACAGGAAGACGCATAGCAATGCATGTCCAGCTGCCTTTAGACGTCTCATTTACTTTGGTTAAGAATGATAGAATTGAACAAATTGATCAAATGTGTAGTGGTTGAACACAGTATTTAGGACCAAACTACAAAGTCCTATCAGAATCCTTCTAAAGGAAATCAAAACGACATATAAGCTCCTTACTATGGAATCATTATTACATTATTAGGAGAGATGGGGACTTGTTAAACAAAGTCTAATAACATCTGATGATTTGCTGTAATAAGACAGAATATAAAATGAAGCAAAACGGAACCGGTGAATAGGCCACTTGTACACAAAAAACAAACACACTGTCCGCTGTTAAACGGGACACCGCTCCGGAGACGACTCGGGAGGCCATCGATTATCTCTCAGCCGCTCGGTAAATCTTCAGAAGAGGGGAACATCTCCAGCCGAGAACCACGCAGGACAAATGAACCAGCGCCTGGATCCACATGTGGAAACCACGCCCCGATGGGGGGGGGGTATCTGTGCTTTACGCCACACTTCTCTCTCTTTGGCCGTTACGACTTGGAACTCGTGACTCGGCTGAGCTCAGCGGACAGAGCGGAAAATGAGACCAGCAAACAGAGCAGCCCCCCCCCCACCCCCCGGGTTTCAGGCGCAGGTCCCGCGTGTGTTAAGCTGCGTGAACGTCAGCCTCCCCCCCGAGGTCAAGTCGCCCTGCTCAAGAGCATAGAAAACCCTCACCATATGTCAATATGCAGGCCGCAGGCCGCGGAACAACGTGGACGCGTTGCCAGTGCACATCATGCATTGTGATTAGTGTATTAGCTGCATAGCTCAGGGTGGCGTATCTATACAGCCTGTTGCATTCAACCGCCGTCCATATGAAACAAGAGAAGCATCAAATCCTCCCAATTTAAAAAGGTTAAATCAGCATCATACTCTGCATTTTTGTTCAAGAACTTGCAAACCTTTGAGAATCAGCTACATGGTTGTTGGTTGATTTCCTCTTAATGGCTAAATCCATTTTATGGTTGCAGCTTCAAAAAAGGGACAAGTGCGAAGTTGACGCAGACATCTTTAGCAAGAGTTCAGAGCTCAGCTAAGACTCATATTGATAACCTTTAGTGACTTGCGATGTTGAGCAGTACTGGGGTTTAAATCCGGGGCCTACCTGAGGGTATTTGTTCTTCCTCCTGCACCCAAACCCGCATGCCAGTCAACTCCAGCGCAGCACGACGGGGTGAGGGGCGGGTTGCAGAACCAATGCTGAATCACCACAAGACAAAGGTGTTGAGAATCAAACCCCCCGGAGAATGTGAGCTACTCAAGATCGCAACCAATACGTTTGATCGCTGTGAATCCCTTTAAAAGAGGAGCCGCTCAGCTGTTCGTCAAGGTGAAGATGTTGCAGCCAGATGCGACAATTAAGGAGGCGGAAAGAGGCTTTGAATCACAAACCGGAAATCATGTTAATTGTCTCAAAGGAAAGAGTCAATATTGTCCTTCAGGGTTGGATCATAAGCCCCCCCATCACACAGCTCAGAAACTGCCCGGGCTCGATCATGGCTGCCACGGGGACGAGACATCAGACAAGCAGTGAAACAACGAGGGCTGTAAACACGGAACAGTCTAACAAACAAGAGTCCAAGGAATCGAACCTTTTTCAAAGCACGCTCATCTGACAGGAGCCACCGCAGAGCAGGAGGAAGCAGAGTCATTACTCATGACTCCCTTTTTTTTAATTCTTCCTCCATCACGTTCTCCCCGCTGGGTTTCTACAAGGTCATTTTGGCGCACGACGCAGGACGGGACGCACCGGACAGCTGCGCGACATTTCCACGGTGTTGCGCGAATTAAATGCATAACCAGGGCAACTGTTCGTGTTTTATGATCCGACGGTGAGGATCGGGAGTGAAGGAAGAATTTAAAAAAGAAAGAAGCTATAGCTGTGTGATGAAGAGAGCGGGCAAGGGCACCGGTGCCAAAACCATCGCCAATCAGACGCAACTGGATCGGTGACGGGAAGCTGTTTAACGACCTTAAAAACACTACACGCGACCTCGTGCCCTTCCTCCTCTTTAACAGTCAATCCTGAGCGGTGGGCGATACAGATCGCTCTTGGTGCCCAAGACCCCCCCCCCCCCCCTCACACCCTCCCCGAACCGAGAACAAGAACGAAGGGTGCGTTTCGCCAGAATCCGCAATTGAAACCTCCAAATATTGCGCCAATGCAACATTCCCGACGACTATCCTCCACTTTGTTCAGTGTCACAAATGGATTCTGTACATTGACAAACCGTCGCGTGCGTGTTTAGGGGTCATCACGGCGCGCGCTGAAGGCCGTTTAACTCGCATTTAGTGACCGCGTTATTGTCCAGTCGGCTGATAAAACACATGCAAATCTGCGGTCGCGCTCCTCGATGCACCGTCGATACACCGGCAGCACTCGAGGAAATTAAGGGGAATTAACGCTTTAAAAAAGGGGGGACGGTTAAGATTAAACTGCACATCAAAAAGGAGGATGATGCATTTTCTTACCTTTTTCGGGTGCTTCTGTCGCCGCTTTCTAGGGGGTGGGGGAGACCGGGGTTGGCTTAAATTTTTCTCTTTTTTTTTTTGTATTCGCGCAGGGAGTCACCCCGAGTAGCTGAAGCGAGGCGCTTGTGTGCCCCCGTGATGTACACTGACGTAGTAGCACAGCGCTGCACCCTCCGCCCCCTTTTACTCACTACACAACATCCCTCTAGGATGGAGACACCGCCCCCCCTCCTCCTCTTCCTCCTCCTCCTACAGCGGACACCATTGCTCTCAGAAAAAAAAGAGAGGGGGGGGGGGGGTGCTAGATTATAATGCAACCCGACACGGTGGAGGAGAGTTATTATGCCCCCCCCCCACACACACACACACACACACACCTCTGACTGATTCAGCTGCATGTGAACGTTGATGTCAAGGCCACCGTTAGTTAATTGGGACTCACGCAACCTGGTCGGGGAAATGCGCTGTGCGCGCGCGCTCACGGTTGGACTGACAGCGGCTCCATATGCGCCAAATGGTTGGTGCAATGAACTGTGCAGGACGAGCCTCTCCCTGCACGTGCGTGGGCTCGTGCCCATAAGTGGCCCTGTTAAAAAGAACAAGGAAATGACACGGACGCCCCTTGTGGAAAGACAACTGGAATGATGTATAGTTGATAACCCGGATTGTGATCATGGATAATTACTACATTCTAAGTGTTATAATTATATCTATGAAGATCGATGGGACTTGTGGTGTCATTTAGGCATATGTAGATCAGATGTTATGGAGGGATGGAAGTCTGTCAGTGGAGGTTGATGGATGGAAGTGTTTCAAAGAGAGACCACGCTCTACGAGGCCGACCTCGGGGTCCTGGAAGAGCGACCTTTCCCGTGGCGGCAGAGTACCAGTATCTGATACAAGATATCTAACCTAGTCAGCGCTTTGGTGCAGGAGAGGTCGAATATCGCTGAGTTTTTATGAGGAAGTCTTTGCCCCAAACTGGTTGAGTGCGGTAAAAAGAAAAAGAAAAAATTATCAACAGAAAGTGGTCAAAGAACACAAAAATAAATAAAGAGAACAAGTTACAAAAGCCAATGACAATTTTTATTTAAAAAAAAAATTCTCTGTTCAGTCTAATAGAGGCAATAAAAGGCCTGTCCATACAGTGGAGGGATTTAAGCCCGTTGAGCCCTACGGTGACCAACCTTAGTAAAGTGCATTTGTTCTTAAAACATGAGCTTAAAAAGAACTTTGAAATCTCTTCTATCGTGACATTTTCCCCGTAGCAAAGAGAACCTGTTTGTAGTGCGACAAGCAGATGAACACTGTTTGCCTCTGGCCTTCCACATTATCCTCTCCACAAACCAAAATAAACCTGCAGAGGCCAAACTGCAGCTCCACACAGTGTGTGTGTGTGTGTGTGGCTGTCGACTTTGTTTGTCGATATCTTTACCTGCCTGAACACAAAAGCACGGTTCCACCTGGTCGACTTGCCTCTGCAGACAGGGTCATATTACCCGGGGCTGGTTTAACGGCTGCACCAGCCCTTATCTGCTGCTGTGAGCGTAGCGCCATGAATCACAGCGGCAAACAGACGCCTCACGGGTGACGGGTGCGGCTCAATTAAGGCTTTAACTAGGCCTGTGTCCATTGTTTTAATGTCTCAGTATTACCCATGATGCAATTATTACACAATTATCTTCACAAGGCATCAAATCCTTTACATCTTACAAGCAATACTATTCTGATATTTAGAGGTTTTGGATGTAATGTGTTAACAATCAGTTTGTGGTACGTTGTTGTTTAATGGTGGAAATTAACTTACTAAAAAAAAAAAAGAGAATGATCAAAAGTTTGATGATTGTCGCCATCTGGTTGCTACTTTAAGTACTTCTTCCAGGGGAAAAGTCCACCGCTTCTTTTCGGTACCACGTGTTCATATTTTAGGTACTTTGAGGCCATTAGCGCCGCCCTCCTCGTGGTCACGTGTCTCTCTCTCTCGCTCTAAATGATGATCGAGATTCACCTCAGCTGCGCCTCTCCGCGTTCACTCGGAGCTGCTGCCGAAGAGGAGGAAGAAGAAGAGGAAGAAGAAGAGACCCGCGACTTCACCACGTACAGGAAGGAGAGCTTTGTTTACCTCCGTTCAGACGTCTGCGCACCGTGATGATGATGATGACGATGACGATGATGGCCCATCCTTCCATTTGAACACGCGCGTTGGAGCGGGGCGGTGCAGGGTCCCTTTTTTTCGGGGGTGGGGGGGTCGTCGTTTCTTCCTGATTGTTTTAAAACCCCGCAGAGATCTGAGCCGTGTCGTGTTCTGAAGAAGAAGGAAATAATAACTGGGCACTAGAAGATGCCGCTGGGCAGAGCGGCCGATGCTCCCCGGGTGGGACCATGAGAGGAGGCGGCATGGACCTGCTGTGGAGGATCTTCGCAGCGCTCCGATTCGACTGCTGTAAAGACTCATCGTCGTCCAAGTGAGTGCGGATCGATCGCCGGATGTAACCTGCGGTGGTCACGTGCGTGTCAAGCGGCGACTTTAGCGCGCAAAATCCACCGGCGTGTGTCTCTCGCGTCTGCCGGCGTCTAAACGTGTAACTGGGACACAATTTTAGGTGCGAATCGACTTAAACCGGAAACATCCATGTTCTCCCACTCCAGTTGTTATGACAACAGGATTTCTGAGGCATCATTTGCGCTCATTTCGTGCAGGTTCGTCTCAACTGAACAGTTTGTGGTAAGAGTTTATGGCTTCTTAGAAAACCATGAATCTAAAAAACAAATCCCTTCGGAAGAAGCCAGATTTCCATTTTTTAAGAGCTCTCCTTGTTCGCCCTCAGGCTGCATGGCGATGATCGGCCACGGCTGCAGGTGTTTGCTGCATTAATGAGCAGGAATCGTGAAGGTCCAACAAAGAACATGCAGTCTCAGTCTCAAGACCGAGAAATAACCAGCACACACACACACACACACACACACACACACATTCAGTTTAAATTACTGAGCCGTTGCACAGCTCCACTCAAACAGATCACTTCTGGTTTTACCAGTTATTTGTTTCCTGCACCAACATCAAATCTGTTTTTAAGTGCGTGTGTGTGCGTGCGTGCGTGCACACACGCTGGAAAAGCCTGATCCCAGCTCGTCCCCATGTGCGTCACGTGGGACACGCTGTCTCTTGTTTTTTTTCCTGCAGGTCTGGTTTGGACTGTCAGGCGTCTGGCTTCTATTTTGATAATAGATTAATCATTTTTGAAGTCATTTTTTCCCCCCCAAACGATGTCAGCAGTTCTCCGGCTCTGGTGTCTCTCATGTCAGGATTTGCTTCTTCTGTTTTCTATCCTGTAGAGGGAATTTATCTGGACAAAGCCAGAGTCTGAGGAAGGCACTTTGATGGACATGTGACACTATATTTTCTGGCACTTTTACAAACCAAATGGTGACCGGCAGGTTAATCAATGATGGAATCATCAGTTGCAGTCCTTGTTTACTTGCAGCGTGGTATAAATTATTAATTGCTACTATGAAACAATGTTGTTCGATTTTCATTTTGTTCATGTTTTTGCTGATGTTGATGACACAAGAATTGTGTCCACCACGTGCACAGAATGGGACATTTATTCAGGTGAAAATTAACTTGTGCTCTCGGGGTCAAACTACGTAAAGGAAACGCTGTACATAAAATATCAAGCAAATCTTAAGTTTATCCTTGAGTGCAGGTTGGTAAAACATTTGGACGAAGTCCTTCCCTCAGATATGGTGTCAACGAGAACAGAATAGTCCCTCAGAGCGACTCGTGAGCTCTTTGTAGGTCTCAAACTCGTATTCAGTTTTAAATCGGCAGAAAAGCTGAACAAGTTTTACATTTTCACAGTGCTCATCGACCCAACCAGCCACGCACTGAGTCCCCCCCTCCCCTCCTTTCTTTCCCCCAGGTCGCCCACCAAGCAGAGCTGCAGCCAGGCCGGCAGCCTGGAGAGCAGCTCCCTGACCGGCTCGGCGTCGCTGGGCCCCGACCTGCCGCACTGCCAGGGCTGCATCACCTACGAGGCCCGCCTGAAGCGCCTCTCCTGCGGACACCTCTACTGCGACGCCTGCTGCGACCAGATCGTCAACCTGGCCTTCGAAGACATCGAGGGGCTGTCCGACTACCCGTGCCCCACCTGCAAGTCCATCCGGCAGCTGGGAGGCCTCGGCCCGTCCGCCTCCGGGTACTTCTACGGACCCGACGGCCTCCTGCAGCAGGAGCCGGGCGCGGGGAAGGGGCCCGGGAGTCGGTGGGGGTGAAGAGGGGGACTCTCGCGGTCACTGCCGAGGAAGCCACGTGGTGACGTGAAGTGTACTTTTACCGTGTCTCTCGTGCTCTGTCGTCCGTGGTTACCAGGTGTAAACGTGGTGCGTGAGACTCTCACCCGGGAGTTTAGAAGGGGCCAAAATGCATCTCAGTACGCGATAAACCCGCTTGTCATCGTAACACATTGTGGTTCATTTTTCTTTCCAGAAAAATGTAAAATGTCATGTATTGTATGTACAGCGTGCAGGTTTTCTGCCTACTTTGTGTAAAAAGCTGAGTGGTATTCTACGTAACATGATGCTGGGAGAGCTTCACCGCGCTACCTGTGCAGTATATATATATTTTATATATATAAGTATTAAGCGTTTTTGCACATGAATTGTCAAAGGTCGTTTTATTCTTGTCACGCGAGGCGGTCGGGTTTTAAATGACATGTAGTGTAATGCTGCTTTTTAAGTGTCCCAGGTCATATGTACATATTTATTTTGTTAGAAAATAAAGTTTGAGCTGTGTGAGGGTTGGGCTTTTATTTTTGCGGAACAGGTTACGAACAGTTTCAACTGATAACACTTTTATTTATCAGGATCAAATCATGCGGATACAAAAAATATGCACATCTGGCAAATTTAAGTGGTGCTCGTACCCCAAAAATGTAATTGTACAACAATACGGATCGACAGGCGCAGCAAAAAAATCCAATAAGCCAGGAAACAGACGACCGTGTGACTCTCCGAGCGCATTGGCATCACACCTGGAAAGCTCTGAAATTGAAGCAGATATTGATGCGATTTACATTTATTAATTCATAATGTTATCAAGCGAGGTACCTTTTGACACGAGGGAGAGAGGTCGGCATCGGTCACCCGTACGACAATCCGTATCCCGGCGAAAAATAAGATCTAAAATCTCGCTCCTTTAGAAACCTTTTGTCTGTCCGAGGGAATGAGCGCTGAGCATCAAGGCTCGGGACCAGCTCGCTCCCCCGAGCTTTAAATACAGACACTTCCAAGTCCTTGACCCAAATGCAGACTGCGACACGATAATCGGTTCCCTTTTGCTTCACTGGTACCGTCTCCAAGTACGGCAATTCAATGTTTGTCGTCAATTCCACCACAAAATGGAGAAATCCTCAAAAGAATACAAAATACAATACGTTTGAGAAACAGAATTCAGAAATCACACTTCTCCAATGTGACTTAAACAATTGGACCGATAATGGTCGAAAATGTTTAATAAAGATGAAATAATCCGATGATATAATTAAAGCCCTGAAAATGTGTGCTGCCTTCAGCCACATTCAGGCCAACATACCAGTCTGCAAGAAAGGCCTCGCGCTGCTCACGAGCACAGAGATATGAGGGCAGAACCAAAATAGCTCTCGTGCCCTGAATTCCACCATAAAGGGACGGCCAACGGCGCCCAAACAGTGCTCGGTGTCCAAATGACGTTTGACTTTTCTATTTGAAGCGGACTTGCACTCAATTGAACAATTGTGTTTTTCTCCATATCAGTGTGACGTGATACAAATCTAAAGAGCTATTTGTAAAATAAAAACCATGTGAAGCGGGTCGGAGCCGGTGAGGCAGGCGTCTCCGTTCTCTGCCGTGTGTCCTGAAGGACCACGTCATCGCACCCGTCTCTACGTCCCGCTGCTGATAAGAAGCTCAAACTGGAAACAACAAGCTTTGTGTCTTTCGGAGGCGGGACTTGGTCTGCTGCCAAACATTGTTTGGACTCTTCAGCACGTATTCTTTTGGTCTGGGTATATTTCACTGACATTGAAGAGATGATCTTTACAAATATACAAAACGGTTGTCACGTATTCCTTTTTAATACAGTACAGACGATGCGTAGCCAAGTCCAGAGCTCATGCACTGATTATATGATGCTCACGGCGTTCACTGCGGGCCGCCCAAATGTTTTTTTTTTTTTTAATAACCTCACTGTCTATCAAATACGATTTGAGAGGAGAAACCCGCCTGGGTCTCCTCTGTTTGAGAGACCTCAGGAGGCCACCGAGGACCCGTTGCTCTTAGGCAGCTTGGCAGCATTGGGCGCTGGGTAATAGCGCTGGTCGGGGCGGGGCTCCGCTGCGGGAGGGTGCCCGAACAGGAACGTGTGCTTGTTTCCGCCGCCATTGTCTCTGTGGTGGCCGTGCCTGCTTGGTGGAGCGGAGGCGGGCGGAGGAGGAGGGCCCCTGGAGGTCTGGCGGTTGGCGGAGGAAGGAGGGGGCGCCGCTCTGGGCGCCGAGGCGCTCTGAGGCCGCGACGCCGGGAAGAGGAAGGTGCCGTTGTTGGCGTTTTGGTTCAGGTTGGTGTCGGTCCGTCGGGGCTCGGCCGTCTTGGGCGGCGGGATTGGATCCGCGCCGCTGGACGCTCGCGCCAGCTCGTCTTTGAGCTGCTGCACCTCGCGGGCCAGCCGCTCCACAGGGTGGGGGTGGTTCGCTGAGACGGGGTGGGAGAAGGCCTGAGGAGGGAAGCCCACACATTATACCTTTGACCTGCATCATTTCCAATGGCCATCGGGGGGGCGAGTGTGATGGTATAGACGCCAATGAGAAAAGAACCCTACTGCTCACTTGTTTATTCCCTCGGTAAACGTTGTAAAAGTTTTGGAGTTCATTAGTTTAGTAAATCACGGCCTAATTAGGTTAAGCGACAATAGAGAAGTTTCCGTCTTCAAATGTCTTTGCCCTCGTTCGGTTGTACTCCACCATCACACGTCTGGTTGCAAATACAACACAAGGTTAGTTTTGTTGTGTTGGAATGAATAACATGAGGATCTGGTCCACAGCTCACAGTGAGCAGCACATCTCAGAGACGCATCTCTTGAGCAGGATGTCGCCATGTCAAGAGGATGTGACAACGCAGATACGTAGAGGCTTCCGGATGCTAAGTGAGCCAAATTTAATTAAAAAGAATCACGTGGACGATCTGGCCCACTTGACAAACCTGATGACACATCCGCACTCAGACAGTGAACCCTGCGACAGTGATTAATGCTGCCAATCTGATGCATATCGTTAATTAAATAAAGTGGGCTTTCAACTCGTGACTTAAACATTTACCTACTTCATAATGTAAATACTTAGCCGGTGGATTAAGAATATACAGAAGAACAGGCTGTTTCTATTGAGATCATGTTTTAGGCTCGTTGGCATACATACTTCCCCTCCTAGGACCCCTGAGATAGATCTTTATTCAGCCCACAAGCTAAAGAGGAGATTCCCTTTCCTTATGGACCCCGGATGCTCCTGAATCACTTTGGGGGACAAGTCCCTCGTACCTGTGCGTGCAGCGCCCCCCGGAGGTAGCACTCCTTCCACAGGCCCATGCAGGGCCCCATCAGCAGAGGCAGTAAGGGCTCGTAGGGGTCGAGTGGTCCCTGGGGGGCCGATGTGGACGTGACGCCTTGGGGAAGCTCCGCCATGGCCCAGGCCTTCAGCAGCCTCTCCAGGCCGGGCACGTTCTCCGAGGACGCCGCCCGCCGGTGGCTCTTCTTGTAGACGCCCGAACTGCCGGCGCGCCAGGGGAGCAGGTTGACGGGGCAGGAGAAGGTGCCTCGAGAGAGGAGGAAGACGGAGCCGGGGACGGTGTCGGACGGCTGCAGGGCAGATGTGGGAGGAAATGGCACACGAGTCAAACTTGTAGTATCTTGTTTAAGTAAAACAATTTAACTTGACCAAATCCACTCTGAGTTCCAAGCGACTGCTGCGTGACCGCCACAAGAGGGTGCAGGCGACCGTTGATAAAAACAACTCGGTGGAGTTCCCACCGGTTTAATAGCAGTGAGATCTCTGTAGTGTTCAGGCGATGCAGGGAGTCTGAGTAGGTTGAGTCTGGGAGATCTTTCACCAGCAGGAAGCGAGAGCGGACACACACAAAGTCGTGCTGGAGGATGTTGATGTTGTTGTTGTCGGGACACGTGTTCACAGGACGGCCTGTTTTTTACGCGGACGTACTGTTTACAGCCCGCTTCCTCTTTGCAAATGCAACACAACGGCAAAGTTTACCCATTTTTTTTTGTTGTTGTCATGGACAACTGCCTGCAGGCGGCCGCGGTGGAACCTAAAGGTCACTACTAGTTACCCACCCTGTGTGTGTCCGGGTGGGTGTTGAGGTTGCCGTTGAGCAGCGGTTGGAGGGAAGGGATCGGGGGGACGGGTTGGGTGAAGCGGTCCCGTCTGTGCTTGCTGTACTGCAGGGACCAGTCCCACACCGAGGGCAGAGGGGGGTCCGAGGGATCGGAGGAGGAGTCCACGTCTCTCCAGCCGTTGACCGGAGTGTAGGACTGTCCGAGGTTCTGGGTGGAGTGGAATATACATTTTCAACTTTTCTTCCGTCTGCAGCATATTACATTGTAATGACTTTAGAATGAATAAAGCCTCCCTGCTTATACTCCAATTATAATGATGACACAATAGAGCTTCCAAAATACTCTCAGGTGTCCAGTACCTGGGAGCGTTTGCATCGCTCTCGCTGGCAGTTGGCCAAGAAGCTGGAGAAGAGTGGCAGGTGGATGCTGTCATGCAGGGCCAACAGGAAGTCCTCCGTCAGCTGGAAGCGAGTGGGATACTGGGACGAGATCTGCCAAACACAGTCCAGGAAGAGAAGGAAGACGGGGGCCTGCAGGGACGGAGGGAGCAAAGAATCCCCGTCAGTCAACCTCACAGGTGCACATAAATAAAAAAAGTTCAATTACATTCAAAAATACAATAAATCAAGTAAACCACAATATGAAAGACGGAACCAACATGTTCCAACATCTGTCGGCTCGTCCCCGGCCGGCCGACGGGACCTCTCACCTCCTCTTTATCATTGTCGCGGTGGTAGTTGATGCGGCTGGAGAAGCGGTGGCCGGCCATCACCCACTCCTTCTGCACTAGGCCCTGGAAGCCTCGCTGGGTCCGACAGTGGGGGTCGCACATCACCTGCACCAGGCTGGACACCACACAGCCCATGTCCCGGTCGTCCGCCTCTGTCACGTATAACGCAGGGTGAGCACATACAGGAAGGTCTTTAGAAACCTCTGTGCCGTTACTTGTAATAAATAAAATAGAATCCCTGTGGCTGTATTGGTGTATGACTGATGAGGAGTAGAAAATGTCGATTGGACAACTTTGCAGAAGTGAGAATGATGAATACAAAAAACCCAGTGCGAAGCAGCAGCAGCCAACAGGAAGAGGATGAAGAAGCACGCCGAGAGACCAAGTTCTCAGTAGTGACTCATTTCTGCAGAGGGTTATTTATGGCGGATCTACTGCTTCAGAGAGACTCGGCCCGGGATATATGAACGTCGTTACGATGTTAGGACGCTTACAGCTGCAGAGCGCCAGAGAAAGTTGTAAACATCCTCAGCTGAAGACGACCATTGTTTGAGCAGGCGCTGCCGCGTCCGTCTCGGAGCGTTTATGAATCCACCACAGGAAGCCGGACCAGATGATCGGATACCAACAAATGTCAGGAAATAGATTCTACTGCACTTCTGGAGAGACACATCTATAAATGCACCATGACGAACCCAAATTCAACAGTCAGCAACAACTTGAGGAGGAGAAAGCTGACTTTGCAAACAGGAGCCACAGCCAGACACTCCGAGGTCACTCTCACTGGTTGACCGGGTGCGACCAGTAGCTTTCCCCTGTTACCTGATCCGACCCACCGCCAGATGGAGATCAGTTGACACCTCTACTCCACAACAAACCACAGCTAGCATCTTAGACAACAAAGACAGTACATCACACCCTCAGTCAGAAGTAAGCGCGAGCTGTGGGATGATGAGCCGATTGCTTTATTTATAGTCGCTATGTTAATTACGTGTTAACGGTGCGAAAAACACGCTCCACCTTCCACAGGAGCAGCGTGTTCTTTGCACCGTTTTGTCAGCTTCTAGTAATGAACAGGCATAGACCGACGTTCACTAGTCCTGTTCAAAGGTGAGATTTCACACACACTTTTTGTACCGAGGCCGGTAAATTAACTGATATCTTCATAATACGTTTTAATTTCATGGGATAGATCGTTTCTGTGAGCTCGGTGTCATAACTCGCGTTCGGATGCCCGATGCCAACACAGCCCGGTGCAGCCCGGCGTGGAGGCCTATTGACGTGTGCATGTCGGCTCATTGGAGTGTGCCAGTCGCCGGTACGTAGCTGCCGCCGGGCCTAATGTGGGACTAATGAGAGGCGGCGCCGTGAATAATGAATGGATTGAATAATATGAGCCGGGGTCCGGGTCACGTGACTCACCTTGCAGTGCCACAGTCAGGTGACCGCCGCGGAGCAGGCAGGCGACCTCCGAAGCTTTCCTCAGACAGGCCCTGGGGAGGCAGAGGCATCAGACCCCAAAATACTGGAACCACCTACTGTCACACTTCTAATGTTACATGTAAGTTGGTGCATTGAAAGGATCAGTTTTACAGCAGTGAAAGTGAAAGATGAATATCCAGTAGGAGGACGGACCTCATGGCGGTTTGTTACGGCTGCCGTGGATTACCTGGTGTAGTCCAGCCAGTGGGTGCTCTCCAGGGTAGACAGCCATCTGTCATCAGGCACTGAGACGGATGTGGAGATGTCTAGAAGCCAAAACAGACCATGATCAGATATTTTGGGTGACAACGTGTCATCTTCTCCATGCTGTAATGAAGCATTACTAAAAGCTCTGAAGCAACGTCGTCCTTTCTAAATGCTGTAGGCTCATTTGGAAATTTGAAATGTAAATTCCTTTTTTGTTCTGAGTGGTGTCAACAATAAAATCAGAACATTTCTATTCTTGATGAGACAGTCTAGCTGTGGCTGACAGAGCAGTACTCACTATTCATTCACTACTTCATACTAAATGCCAAAAGCTACCTCCAAAAAACCATGTGAGCCGTTAAATTGTTGACCTTTACACGTGGTCTGTGCGCAAAAGAGAGAGAGAGAGTGTGTATGTGTGTGAGAAAAGGTCAGCGTTTCAGGCCCAGGGACAGCAGTCGTAGACGGCCGTGACTTTGGTCATCTCTCTGTTGAATCAGCCATGGAATGTGCCGCGTGGGCCGACATGACAATAACAAAAAAAAAAAAAGAAGAAAAGGCCGTCAGCCAGAAGCTGCCGGTGTTAAAGTTCACCCCCTAAACAACCACGTACACAGTGATGTAATTATAGAGTTTTTAAATGTACGAAGAGAGTAGCAATTTTGGCATTACCATCAGTGGTTTGACAACTTGACTCTTTGAATAAATAAGTGACTTAAAGCAGAAAACGTCACTTTGTTCCGTCGCGTCTCTCAATCAAAGGACGACCAGGTGAGCCGAGCTTTATTGTGAAAGGAATTTATGACGGCGTCTGGCAGACAACCATAAGACAGCCGCATTAAACCGACTGTTTCCTGGATTAAAATGACGTAGGCAGAACAGACTTGTCCACACCTTTAGGTAAATGAACAGTTGGACCCTTTAGCCCGGCTGCCACAGAGGTTTATGTGACCAGTGAATGACGCTTCCTTCGCTTCAATTCGCTATTTGCCCGAGTTCGTTTTTTACCCCCCTTTTTGTGGTGTGTGTGGATGCGTATTTGCTCAGTTGGTGTGTGCGCGTCTTCTCCCCACCTCCCAGACAGAGGGCGCGCAGGCGGCCGTGAGACAGCTGGATGTCTGCAGGGGACGGCAGCTCCTCGTCCAGCTCCACCACCACACACAGAGACGACTGGCAGCCAAACAGGATCATCTCCAGGTTCCTGCACAACACACGCTGCTGTTGTTAACACTAACACACACACACACACACACACACACACACACACACACAACACACGCTGCTGTTGTTAACACTAACACACACACACACAACACACGCTGCTGTTGTTAACACACACACACACACGGTAGGCTCTCGGTGGCTTTTTAGTCATGTCTTTGTGAACACTGGGTTTCGGCTCCAAAAGGCTTGAAGTCAAGTGGCTTTAAGAATAAGAGGACATTATGATATTTTCTCAGTAGTCCGTTTCAGGGTCACGTTAGCTGTGCACGAATGAAGTCAAGGGTTAACTATTCTGACTAAATGCTGTTGTCTTAAGATTCTTTAACTGCGGCCAGCAGATATTTCAGAAAGCACCGTTTCCGCAGGTTGGTTTTCATCAAATCAACCCTGCATCTCTACAAGGCGATTCAAATAAACGGACTGATTTCATTGCCGGAGGCGGTTTAGTGGCACAACAGAGTGTGTGTGTGTGTCTCTCTCTCCCAGAGAGTAGCGGAAAATACTTCACAAGTCAATTTAAACACATACTTGATGTCGTCTTTCTCGTGGTAGATGTTGTTCTGGAAGCCGGCCATTCGCAGGAGATCGCTGCCTCGAGGGTGTCGCCAACACCAACGCTGCAACGCACAGTTCCCTCCTGGTTAATAACACGTTCCACATTGTTACAGCTCCTTAAACGCACTCACGCCATCAGTGTTGCATCTCGTAATTGGTCTCACTGGACTGATGATGAGTAAAGAAAAGATGTCGCACCCTTTTACACGAGGGATGATTTAGTTTTTTCTCAAGATGGAAGTTTTGAACGTTTCTCAAAGCAAGGAAATGTTTAGTCAAGATGCGTTGAGCCACAGTCCCCTGAAGCTCCGTATTAAATCAAGTGAAAGGGATTTTGTTCAAATCCCTCTTGTGACTGTAAACCGCTCAAATATTCCTTTCTACTGGTTGAGACGCCATAAACACTGTTTCACTGGGTCGTTTCTTAGCACACTCACTGGGATGCGTCCTTCATGGAAGTGGGCGAAGCTTTTCTTCAGCTCCGTGTCCAAAACCTTCTGTGGAACCACGATGGATCTTGGCAGGCTGACAGGAAACAGAACGAATGACTAGTCGAGGATGTTTTATACATCTCAGAACGCATCAGCTGTGGTTTACACTTGAATCTGCCTCATATCCGAGAGACGTGTTCAACACAATCCACCATATTAAAGCTTTAACGCATGGGCGGAGACAACGACGTGGGGTTGATTTTACCTGGTGGACATCTCGAAGCGGTCGTTGACTGAGCTGACCCTCCAGCCTGTGGCCCCGCACCTCTCCAGCTCTTGCTCCCAGTCCGAGGCCGACTCAAACCAGTTCATGTGCGTGTCTCGCCGACGGTTGCTTAGAAACTGCTTCATTTCTGGGAGAAAGAAGAATATCGTAGTCTAAAAACGATTATTTGGATTCATGCAAACCCACGGCCAGCTGTCTCACCCTGAGATGTATCGATGGAGACGAGCAAGCGATTTAATTACATCTGAAACTGATAGAATCTTTGCAAAATCCCAACGTTAAGAGTTGCGTCGTCAGTGCACTGACCAAACACTTGACCCGTGGGGCAGAGTTTAACTTTAGGTCATCTAGTGACTTGTTCCGGGGGGGGGGCTGCATTATTTATCCCACTCTGACAGCCTTGTCAGGCTGGCGTGACTTTAACAGCGTAGTGCATCGTACAGACGGGCTCATATTACTCTATATGGTTGCTTAGCAGCAACTGGACGTAATCATTTTGTAAAGTGTTTCCTGGCCCTCTGAAGCACAGAGCTGGATTCCCTCCCTCCGATAGCACGGTATGAGATTTAATTACTTTGGTTTAATCTTTCAGAAATGGAAGCTTTCCAATCACTGTCGGAATCGGCCCATGCACAACAATGAGCCCCGCTCGGTGCATGAATTCAAGGACAGCGTTTTCTTTGAATCATAATAATAGGCCAGAATGTTTCTAAGAGAGGACGTGAAGCTCCTCGTGTCCTTCTGCTCTGCACTGAAACCGTTACATTTACTGCTTGATATTCAATTCAGTCTTAAGCTGTAACATCTTGTCCGGACCGTATGGCTCGAAAAACATATGAAAGACAGAATTGACGTTTTGTGTCAAGCAGCATCGCAGGTACATTCTGTTCCTGCAGAGTGAAAATGAAAGTGAGAACAGACTCGATGAAACATTAAGGCTTTAGAAAGCAAGTAGAGCACATGACTGACGGTCTTTGTTCCTCACTTTGCATATGCACAGAATTAATAAATTTGGATCTTTTTTTGTGTCATATACATCCAAACAGACCAACGCGTAACGCTGTGGTGCCTTAAAACATCATGTAATTTCCTACATGCATCATATCAAATATATTTGGTCCAGGTATTATTATTATTAGTCCAGTACAAGAAAGCAAAATGAAATGAAAATCACAAAACATTTGTCCGATATTGAACTACCCCTCCGTGTCCACGATGACTCGATGTGGCTGCAGGATGACAGACGGACTGATCTGCATCACTGTAAACGAGGCTGAACGCATTAAGCGACTCACCTACGCTCCCCAGGGCGGCGTTCTGGAAGGATAAAACGGAGCCTGGTTTAGGAGGCTGGTAGGTCTTGGCGATGGTGTAGGTTATCTGAGGAGGGAGACCACAGCGAGTCCATCAACGCGGCAAAGGTCATCAGCTTTCAACATCAATGTCTATGGTACGGATCAGTCTTTGGGCTCCGACAGGATGACAGTAACCAGAGCCTCGAATCGAAGACAACACACAATACACCCCGAAAGACGCCGGCACGTGCAAATATTTGCAAACCCGGGTGCACACTTCTCTAGGATAACAATTTGGAGAGTTGCAATATGAAGGCATACAGCAGGAAACACTGAAGAACCAATTCCTCTTAATAAAAAAGAAGAACTTAAAATAGTTGCCTTAATTGCTAGACCAGAGGACGGACACACACCTCGATGACTTGTGCGTCAGGGGTGAGGCGGTCAAACAGGAAGCAGATGACTCGCAGGTCCCTGCAGTAAAGCACCAGCTCCTCTGGGGTGAACTTCAGGGAGGAGTTTGGGGTCACCAGCTTGGTCCGGTTCGGGCCCACTGCAGCACAAGCCGGCCGATTACACACTGAACAGACACACGGGTCAAGAGGCCAACGAACACCTGGGTACCCGTTACAGTATCTGATGGAGTTAACTACGGCATTAACAGTATCACAGCAGCATAATCAGAGTGTCACATAAGAGTCAATACATCCGTATGAAATATGTCCCCAGCAGTCTTGAGTATTGTGTGCATACATGAAGGTTTTACTCACCAACCACGACCTTCTCTATGGATGCCAAAGCCACATCATGATCTCCTAACAGCACGGGATCTGCATTGTCCTGCAACATGTCATTTAAAATAAATAAACAAAGAAAAACACAATGTTAAATGTAATTCAGATTTTTCTCCTTTCAACAAACAAGAAGAACGCCGAGCCGGTGCGGCACAGTTAACATGAGGACGAGTATCTCCTCAACGGCGCGGCTCAGAGGGACTCACGTCGGGCTTGGGACTGTCCTGGGGGACAAAGGCCACTCTGAAGTGGGTACAGAAGAGGGTCCCAGACACCCAACCCCGTCCTTCCCTGGCAGTCAACTTCTTCCTCACCATGACGGCTCGCTGGAGCACGCACTCGCCTAGCGGGGGGGGCAAAGGGAGGGGGGATAGGGGGGGTGCAGAGGTTACAGGACCGAACTGATGGGTAATTTCGCATTGTGAGGGTGCGATCAAGTGAAGTGACCCAGTGTGCATCGGCGGGGGATCCTCAGGAGGATAAACAAACAGGAAGAGAGCAGCGAAACAAGCTGACGTTTGCTGGGGGAGCCGCTGGGATTGGGTGTAACAAATACCTACAAAACAAAAGGGCAAGATGTTGCTTATTGTGGAAAGTCCGCAGGCCACAGAGGATGAACCGGGAGGAGCAGGAAGAACAACAACACCCGCCGTCAGTGACATATCAGAGTTACGTTACACCCATTTTATGCTGGTAAACAAGTGTCAAATCAAAGAGAACATTTCAGCGGCAGGTTTCAACGACGGGAAGCTTTTGTAGAGATAAAATCAGGAATTATTTTCCAAAGGCATGGCAGAACACATAACAGTCCCTGGGTAATCTGGTTCAAAGAAAAGGCCAACGAGGGATGATGAATAAGAGAAAATGAGCGTCATCTAATATATGGGCTACTTTAAAAGTTGATAAGTGGAAGTGTGTGCTTCAACAGGACTTTATTTACTAATCTGCTGATGCCGGCATGGATACACATTTCGGCCTGAAGAGGGAGGTTGAAGTAGCATTTGAAATACCAGGACAAAAGCTTCCAAAAACAAACTTCACCCAGAGAAAACCGATGTGAATAAACACTTTCAAAAGGGAAAACGGCTTCACACACACACACACACACAAATACACACACTGGTGAGACAGCACATTTCTAACTGTTTCCAGCAGGAAAACAAAGCCGTTGCCTGCTAGAATGTGGGTTTCCATGGCAACAAGAGTCCAGGTTCAGGTAGCAAGGAGAAAATGGTCTTTCTGGGCGGAACAAGACGAGCGTTTGGCCAGACACATGAAAAGGAAAATGTTTTCACACCGGCCAGAAAAACCATGAAATAGTAGGAGGAAAAAACTGCCGGTCCCTCAAAAACTAAAAGAAGAAAATAATCTGAGAGAAAAACAAAATTCCTTTGCTGCACATGTGGAAAGAACTAGCTTGGTCTTTAAAAGTGAACACGGTGGATTGGCAGGCTACTCGGCTTAAAAAAGCCTTTGGGGAATAGCAGAACACAAACAGGAAGCAGGCATTTTAACACATGAAACAATTGTTGGTGCTGTGAGAAAAAGATGAAGGAGGAGTCTTCATTTCCAGAAGCATCGTTTGCTGATTGGACGCGAGGAGTTGAAATCTCAGGACGTACTCTGTGATTAAGCTCCTTCCCAAACCACGCACGAAAACCCTCGGCTGGCCGTCTCAGTCAGACGCGACCACACGTGGTCCGGCGACGCTGATCACGGGTGAACCCTTGTTGTCCTTTCAGAGGCCTCGTCTTAATGTCTCCCCAGGGTGCAACGAAGCCCAAATCGTCCACAGTGCAAGACTAAACATTTTCAGGGAAAACCTTTTGTAAAAGCAGTTTGCTCTTTAATGTTTCAGCTGCATCTGTTGACGTTGTGCTCGCTGATGAGGAGAGAGAGAGAGAGACAATGCAGCCGAGAAGGATTTCAACCACATGTCTCCGCTTGATTTCTTTTCTCTCACTTTCAGTTGGCGGGCAGGCGCAGCGAAAAAGGTTCGGTCCCTCGGTTATTCTCCCCAACGAGGAGGAAGGTCCGGCCCATCGTAAAGTTGCTCTGTAATCGCTACGCTTCACAAACCAGATGTGCGTATGAAAACTACAACAACAATGTGACACACGTGATGATAATCACGAATATAGAGCTGTGGTCTCCAGCAATCGGCGAGCTAAGAAGCTGATTGACAGCCTTTTAATCCCACAGTAACACGAGCCTGTGGAGAAAGGGGATTGTGACGTTGCTCTGAAGGGGGTCCTGGACTCTTGGCATTGTGTGTGAATGGACAGTATACAGCCCCCCCCGCCCCCCCCACAAATTGAAAAGGTACATGATCTACCTATGGCTGCCGGAGCTTTCCTGACCCGATCGCCCTCCCGCGGGCCGGCTCGGTTTCTGCGCTCCTGTGTCCCGGGTGTCACATGAGAGCGCCACGGAGAGCGAGACGGGACGACGTCTGCGAGCGCATTTCTGATTTTCAGATTCCTGTGGTTTGTTCTCAACTCGCCGGTGGACGAGGACGACTCTTTGCTTTTATTAGTCCTCTCTGAATTACACTACCATGCAACAAAAGCACCACTGTGTTGTTATTCACGTGAAGAATGTGTTTACGCGGCGTGGACTGAGGAGCCATTATTCTGCAGGGTACGTGCCCGAAAGAGAAAGGGAGGAAGAGGGAGAGAGAGAGAGAGAGAGAGAGAGAGAGAGACTCCACCAGTGCAACGCGAGCCCTTTCCCTCCGTGGAGTGACGCTGACTCGCTTACTCCGCAGAAGGTGCACAGAAGCCAAAAGGTCAGACTCCTCAGAAGAAATGTCCAATATAAAATAAAGTGTTACATTCACAGCAAATTATTAGCAAGTCATTTGAGCTCTTTTCTCTCATTCGTAGAAGAGGGGGAAGGACAAACATGCTGCCAATACACATTCACTTCTTTCTCTTTCTTAATATAACGCAGGTTAATGTTTCTAATCTAAAAGGAGATGTGGGGGGAGTGGGGGGGGGGGGGCTGTAGCGAGGCAGAAAGTTAGCAGGGTGGTGTTGGAGAGAAAGATGAAGCTGAAGGGGTAAATGACAGTTAACCTTCCACAGTCAAATGTTAACGACGAAGAATAGGATCTGTGTGTGTGTGTGTGTGTGTGTGTGTGTCTGCGCGCGTGTCTGGAAAGTATTTGATGAAAACACACCGCTGGAAAACCAATTAACTGACTAAGTGAATGAAAATAAGGAAGGAAGCATAGTTTGTATAGAATATGTGTGTGTGCAGTTTGTGTATAACTAAGCACGAGTATATATATATATATATATATAAAAAAAGGTAATAATAAACCCCCGTCAAACACACACACACACACACACTAATTTGCGGTAAAGGGTGGATAAGATTCGCCTCTCATGAGAAACTGCAGCAGGGTGTTGCTGACCCAAGAACGAGACCCGGCCAGGCTCTTATTCTCAGGAAATACCAGAGTCTGCAGCAGCAACGGCCTCCTGTGGCTCTGCATCACCCAGCGGACCACCGGGGTTCAGAGGGCAGACGTCAGACTGTCTGCAGCCGCCCTCACTGCAGCAGAGGGCGGCTGCAGTTTAAGGAGTTGTCTCACGCTCTGTAACGCGTCACAGATTAGCTTCTCCTCAGAAAAGGCCAAAGCACCTGCTCGGACATGCCTGGTCTTTCAGACCTCAGAGATCAGTGACTGCAGCGGCGATAATATCGAGTGTGGAAGGTCGTAGCGAGTGAGAGTAAACCCTTAATCGTTACATAGAAAAGCACAAACCTGGTAGGCAGCGCAGCCCGAACACATCCCGACTCCTTACGTTGACGCCGCTTTGACTCAGCATCCTCTCCTGGAAGAGAAACGGCAGACATTAGCCGGCTTTAATAGGGCAGTCCGAAGCGACTGCTTTTACTTTATACAGTGGATGCCGTGTCATGCTAAGCTAAGCTAAGCTAAGTGGACTCTTTAAATTGTTTATTCGAGACATCCAATTTTGTTTTACGTCATCTGTTCCACGAGCAACTATCCGGCCGCACGGCTTTCCATAATCCCCCTGCAGCTCACGAGCACATCTGCTTCCCATTAACGTCCCTGCGCCCCCCCCCCCTCATGGAGGGAAATTACATTTATCGCCTTTGAATCCCTGACGCGGGGATCTGTGGGTGGACAGGTGGGGACGGAGCCCGTGGAGGAGCAGCGCGAGGGCCCCCGGGTGCACGTTGAAGAGAACCGCGCCGCTCGATTGACATCGCAGAGTCAGCAGCGACAACAATGACTCCACTCATTCCACTTCTGTGTCAGCGGCCTGCTCGTGAAAACCAGAGTCTCTACGCCCCCCCTCCCCTTTCCACCCCCCCATGAAAAGAAGTTAACAAAGAGAACCTTTGCTCTTTGAAAAGGCAGCAAAGTCACTCATTCATGGCTGGTTAAGTGACTCTGATGATGTTATTGTGGAGGTTTTAGTTCATACACATATGCTGTAAACTGCTAAACTATATATATTTACCACATAATACGAGCACTAGTAATGTAATATGGGAACGTTAGCTCTGTATTCTCACGTATAGCTTGGAGTTCACCTGACATGTAATTAAAAACAGCGCAATTGTTTCGCCACTGGCCAAACTAAAGACTGTGAGCTGCGTTGGTAAAACGAGCCGTTTTTATTATTCAGCTTTACACGACGTAGCTTCCGCCTGCCGGAGCTTTGTTCGTTTTTTCCAATCTGGCCTTAAAATGTTTTGAGCTTTCCCTCCCCATCAGCACGCACAGCAGGACCGGCGGGTGAATTCCTCCCTCTCAGAAGATTCCCTGGAGTCTGGTGTCTTCCATCTGTCCTCACAAGGTCCTCTTGACTGGCGGACCCGAGGTCGCCAAACACAAGGTGAAGTGCCGCGGGTTTGAATACGTACAGCATGTGATCAGGGCCCGTAAGTGGGAGGAGCTTCCTCGGCAATGCATTTCCGTGCGAGATACGGGCGTTCTTCTTCCACCACGGAGGGGAAACGGGCCGCGGGGATAAGGGACCAACATGAAGCGACATCTTGGCGTGACGCTGAAGCGATGCTGCCGTCGTCTGTGAGTCACGCACCACTCAAAATACACATTTCCAGGGCCGTGTTTAGGATCTGGCTTTAATCTCTCTCTCTCTCTCCCCTCCCTCCATCCTCAGGGACTGCGGCCAAGGCTGATTGCTATTTCCACTGCTCATGGCGTCCCTCAGACTTCTGCGGCGTCCTGGAGTGGGCTTTGTTGCTCCTCCGCCACATGATTTCACTGGATTTCCTCCATTGAATTTCTTCTGTGGTGGGTTAACATCTGCAGTACACACTTTGAGACATTTGGGGGAAACAGAGTCTCTTTACTCTGCCTGTTTATTTGGGCTCTTTTATTAAATATCCGGCTGGTTTACTTATTTAAGATCGGCAGTAAAAATGGGCCGAATGGGGCAAATCGCTCACATCTGCTTCTCTTGATGAAGCATATTGGGAATTTGGTTGTGATTTCTTTTGGATAGGATTTTCAAACCCAGACTAACGCTCAATTATGAATATCTTTTTGCAGGACCATCTGAAAACACACTGGGGACCTCGGATGTCACGCTTCTCTTACTGCGATGTGCGTTGTTGCTTTAGGACTCGTGGAACAAACTGTTCGCTGCGCATTTATCTGCATGAGGCTTTTTTCATTTCCTCACATGGACGGGGACGGTCATGTGGCAATGGAAACTTGGTGGGAAGGAAAATGACTCCTCATTTTTAAGCATTTCCTCTTCAGAATAACATAAGACCTCTTTCATGTCTACGGACACAAAACTTCACTGTCTAGAAGCAGACCCGCAGTACTAGAACCTACATGACAGAAAGAGCACCGGATAGCCCCCCCCCAGAAACGTCCTTACAGTGAGCATTGTGTAGTACACAACTGCATCCCTGTAAAAGCTGCATTGTGTCCTCTATGGGACAGAAAGACCAGAAGAGACAGAAACAGGATCCGACATATAGGCTGAAATATAAATCAATGTTTCATGAGGTGGGAATTCAGACGGTTAATATTTTATGAGCGAATATCTGCATCACGCCGTGGTGAATATCCAGCTTTTAACCAATTTCTCGGCAATTAGCACATATTCTAAAATAAGGATATATTTACAGCTGCGTCTGGCTTCTTATCCATTCTCTACTATAACGACATTAATCTAGACAGGTAAGTACTGGCTTCATTAGTCGTATCCCTGCTGAATGACTGCGGTTAGTCTTCTCATAACAGTGTCTAAATGCTCAACTGGGCGGGTTCAGAGGTCATATGAAGAGGAGGATAGCGTAAGAGCATACGACCTGTGCGAGGCTGTACCGAGGCGCCATCGCGCTCACAGTGACAATGCTAACGCAGTGATGCCTTGCAGCATACGGTTGGTCGTGATTGTTGCTTAGACGGCACCTTCGACATGTGTGGTTTGGATTGAAATGTCGCTCTGCTGAGGAGGGTCGTCTCTCTCCCGACGACTCAGTTCCCACGAGTCGGATAATCAGAGGCGTTGCACACGCAGGAAACAGACAAAGGACCTGGCCTTTCAGCCCTTTGACAAGTGAATAGAGCACCTGGTGAATTATCGCCCCGGCGTCTGATCAATACACCCTGTGAAGGGACCATGAATCTGCTCGGCCATTACGAGGAGCCCATTGTGGTGGTGCTGCAGGAGCGGGTGTGGGCGACCGCACCGCTTTTGGCCCACTCCCCCCGCACCGGGCTGTGATCGTCGGCCGCGCTGAGAAGAGCTCAGACGAGCCCTCTTCTGCTATTTTGGTCTGCTTCTGTGGAGCTTCGTGCCTTTTATGCTGACTGCTTCAAAGCTGGCTGGGAGATGCAGATCGGGCGACTCCAAGGGGACGCAGGCCGCGGCTTCCTCGAGGAGGCACTGCTGCCGTTTTTGAGAAAACAAATCCGGAATTGATTAGTCACAAATCCACTAAATGAATATGAGCTGATTTGGCTGCAGCCCTTTTATGATCAATGCCGTCCAAACATGACTCTGGGATTGAAGAAGAGAAGATCCTTCGGTACGAGCGAAATGCGAAGCCATCTATGGCGATCCAGCCCAGCGTTTTCCTACGCACTTTCCTAAAGGGGTCTCCCCACATGCTGGTGGGAGTGAAGACGCACAGGAGCGCGTGGGTGGCCTGTGCGTCTAATCCACGCAGCCTACGGCCACATCGCCACGTCTTTGGGCTCGGGCCACGTTCTCATACACACACACACATGGGATTCCTGCTCGTCTCATCGGGAGGTAATAGAATTCAAAACAACGCCTGTACCTCCCAAACGCTGTCTCCATGGCGACAGCCAGATGTTGTGCACATAACCCACCCCCACTCAACATGCGAGCCTCGCCTGAAGGCCAGAGGCATCTGTTACCGTTTTCCCCCCGAGGCCGCTGGAAATAACCAGGGAGACAAAAAATAAAAAAGGCAGCACAAAGGCTTCGTGAAGCCCCCGATAGTAATTATACATGGGGGGACGAGGGGGGGGGGGGGGGGGGTGCAGCCCTAAAACAGGAGACCAAATGAACGAATGGGGTCACGGAGGATTGTCTGGGGGGGGGGGGGGGAGACACCTGAACTACCTGGATGTGCATCATCACCGCGTAGCTTTGATTTCAAGCTGCACCAAAGCAAAATGGATCCAGCACGAAGCCAGAAACCAAACGTCAGATCAGAACTGAAGGGTGACAGAATGACCCGTTAACGTCACTATTTTACATTTGAAACGACGAACAGACTGACATTTGATGTCACACTCAAACGCTCCAGTTTTTGATGCCTCTGTCTGTGTTTAAACGGCGTTAAGTGACGTTAAACGTTTCTCCAGGTGACCGTTAAGGTGAGCTAACGTACCCGGGGAGCTTACCTTGATGTCCGGGAGCATTTGTCTCACTTTGAACGTGGTTTTAGATCCCGTCAACATTTTTGGACGAAGGTTCAACTCGACTCGAAACAAAACAAATTGGGTGGAGCGATAAAAAAAAAGAAAGAAAAAAAAAAAGTGAGATGTAATAAGCTAACTTGGCTAACGGTCGGAGGGAGAAGAAAGGGTCCGGAGTCCCCGGTAACGGTTCGCCTGTCTCACCGGGCTGCTGCTTGCGAGGTGCGCGTCGTGGACCGGCGAGCTGTCGGGGCTTTTTCTCATCGCTCCGAGAGCTCAGACCGCGCAGAAGAGTCCCCGGTGCCCCGGTGCTAACCGGTGGAAGTGAGCTCCTCGGCGAGGAGACGTGTTCGCCGTAACCGCGGTTTTCCTCCACCCGTTCGGGCTGTTTGTTTATCGGCTCGCGGTAGTGAAACACACTGGGGAGGGGAGGGGGAGAGAGGGAGAGGGGGGGGAAGCCAAGTGCAGCGGTGCAGCGTCTTAAAGGGCCAGTGCATCTGACACGTAAACAGGGAATAGAGAAGGGATCTGGATCGCAGAGTCCAAAAGGTAGCCGGTTTTTCCCCGCTTTCAGGGAAGCCCTTGAACTCAGCACCACGGAACTTTAACACTTAACGTAGTGGGGGAAGAAGCGGCTCAATGTTACACGTAATAGTAAAAGCCCCGCATTAAAACAAGTGAAAGTACATCAGCAACATGCACCTTTAATGAAAAAAACACTACGTATTGCTCTGCAATATTAAGTTAAATTGTTCCTATTATTTATTTTTTAATTCTTCTTTTTCACCTGCGCTTCTACTGCTGCTGTATAAGGGTTATCTTATATTACTGTATTATTAGTAATAATGTATTAAGGTGGTAAGTAGCATCTTTTCCTTCCTGCAGATCTACTGGTGATTGTACAGTATATGCTATACAACTTTGGGTAGTTAAATCTATAACGACATCCTCACTATCAAAGTATGGAAGAAGTCCAATGAAAAGTGGTAAATTAGAAGAATGAATTGGGAATATAATGAATGCAAGTTTTGATATTGCTTTTCATACATACATGTAACAAGTTTGTTACATCTGTGTTGCACACAATCGTTTTGTATTCAGGCAACTTGCTGCTGAGGGTTCAAATTGAAAGCTGTTGCTGAGTCAGCAAGGTAACATTAAATAGAATTCTTCCACTCACGAACCTTCTAGTCTTACATTTGTAAAAGAAATAAAAAAAGAACACAGAATCCTGTTCATTTACCACCTAAAGCCTCTTTTGGGCGAGTGAGCTTTACCTTTTTCCCCCGTTTCTTCAGCGGCTCTGTGTGACGACCGGTTCTGTCCTCTCTCATCCAAACGAGTGGAAAGAAACCGTCAACAACTTCCTTCCAAATACACGAGGCCGATTTAGAAGAAATTCCAGTTTGCAGAGAGCGGGGAAAGTCTGAGTTAATCCCTCTGAGCAGGTGGAGGGACGTTGTCCTTGTGAACTGTAACAGAGGGAGGTCTGGATTTTTTACCACATGGGAAACTGTTCAATATTACATTAGGGTCTCAGATTACTTCTAATACATAAAACAGTCCCGGACACAGGACCTGGCATCATCTGATCTGGAGTTATTCAACGATGTATAATGAAACACATTTAGGCTTCGACAGAATGTCAGACAACAAATTGGTATTCACATTCAAATATATGACTAAGCAGTGTTTTTTGTTTTAAACTCCAGAGTCAAGATCAGGAAACATTTATTGCCATAATATGTCAGACGTACAAGGAATTTGGCTTGGCGGTTGGTGCGTAACAGCATGGATTCGTTTCTATGACATCTGATAAGTTTCTCTGCAGCTCCACTTCAATGATGATGACACAGCTCTTATTTGAGGATTGTGAGGATGTCTGAGGAAATTCGGTTTTCTGTTAACAAACTCACAAAAAGCATATTGAGGGGCTGAAATCAGGGAATATCTGTCCCTCTTAGCTTAAAAGAGAAGATAAAGAATAGATTATTAATGTAAATATAACTAAATTATTTTTACACTTCTGCTCGAATTTAAAAATGACAGCTTTGCTAACTCTGGACAAAATTTAAAATGTGAAAAATCATCTTTTATGTCATTAATTTCTTTAAGCGTCAATCTTTTTTAACATAATTAATTATATATATTTATAATCCAGCGATGTGTTGGTTAAAAGGTTGGTTAATTTTTACATTAAACACAGAAACGAGAGGAAGCAAAGAATTCTTGAAATACAATGAGAATTTATTCAAACAGTGCAAAAAATAATAATAATAATAATAATAACCTAAACATAAAATCTGATGTTCTTTCAATCCAGATTGCACTGTCACACAGCCTTAGGGCTCCTCTCAGAAAATAGAATAAAAATAAAAACATAAAAAAATACCATGACAACTATAACCAAGTTAAAATAATGCACAAATTTGGTAGAATGGCTCGCCATTTACATGCAACAGTTCCAGTCCCATGTAACTATTCCATGTTAATGTCACCTTGGATGAATGTTCTGTTCACACAGGAATTACAGTGTTGTACAATATATAAAAATATATATCGGGTCAGTTGTCGCAAAACTAATTCTGAGCCATTTCTCTTCTTCTGGTTCGGAGGAAACGAGCCGGGTCAACAAGAACGCTGCAGTCGTGTTTTAGCATAGCACGGGTCGGTGGCTGTAGAAAAAAAAAAAGACCAAAATGTACAGATAAAAACTTAAAAAAAAATCAACAAACAAATGAAAACCACACTGCTAGACAATTAGCCACGTGAGAAAGAACATCCTAAAATGTCGCAACTAAACATTCCACAAGGAAACCTATGAAAAAATCTCACTATAAATATATATAATCCTCAAATGTCTTGTTGGGTCAGCTTTGCCTCGAGGACCCAAAGGCTCGACTGGGACTTTGTGGTAAACACCGGCTCTCCGAGCTCGTCATCCACACGTGTTTCAGTTTTCCAACAACATACATTCTTACCCTTAAAAACACTGTAAAACTTTGGGCTTACAAAAATAACGTGGAACATATTTATACAACTTGGTTTTCTTTCTTTCTTAAATACAAAAAAGTGTTCCATAGCCTGTAAAGTCTGATGTCTTTCACGTTTCTGAGGCATTCGTTATGTAATTCGATGAAAAGGTTTCATCTGCTAATTATTACTTTAGAGAGGAAAAGAGAGTTTGCACACGTACGCATCTCTAAAAACGGGCGTCACGCTTGACGGGGCCCGTCTGAGTTTAAATGTACCGGCGCAGGTCAACACACATAAACACAGCTAATGCACGTTGTTTTTTTGGGGGGGGGGGGTATAGCATAATTAGTGTTTTATTGTCATTAAAACTCGTGTTATTTTAAATGCACAGCAAATAAACCCCCATCTTCCTTGACCATCTTTAGCATCACAGATCATGTTGTATAGTGTTACGTCGTAATGTGTACAGAAAATGCTGCACTGATAAATTCCGTCACTTTTATTTGTAGTTTTGTTTAACGGTTGCGAGGGAAAGCTCCAAGCGCAGAGGTAAAAAAAAAAGAAAGAAAAAAAGGAGAAACAAAACAAGACTGCCCTCAACTGGGCAAGGCAGTGAATCGCATTCTAAATTGTGCTTTTCTCGACTTGACGCCAAAAGAACCGATCCAGTCAACAAGAGTCACGCTACTTCAAAGGGAAGTTCCTCACCATGGCTTATAGGAGGGGAATAAATCAAGTATTAAAGGAGTCATTTTTACTTTCACACAGCCTCGAATCAGTTACTTTAACAAGGAAGACTAAATCGGACCGTCGGCCGGCTAAACCAGTCGACAGCATCGGTTAGATTTCGGGGCAGTGGTGTGCAGAGACTGCGGGCGGCGGCGGGCGCTCGGTGTTTACGTCTTGCACAAGAGAACTAAATGCTGAAAAAAAGGCAACTAGGAAACTGAGTTAGACGGTGACGCTGGCACCGGAAACGGTAACGGAACCCTTTGGGGGGGGGGGGGACAGCCTGCGGCCCCGCGGTGCCCATCAACACGGGTGGCAGTGTCTGCAGAGACGCACAAGGGACAACAGTCAGGCCACTACAAAAACAGTAGGAAACAAAACAAAAAAAGTTGTATCCACGGACATCAGGAAAAGTGCTTGAAATTGTGCAAAGAGAGAGTTTTACGCAAACGGGTTTGTTTTTCGTCGGGACGAAATGCCAGAAATGAAGATGCGGGGC